GTAAATAACAATAAAACTCTATTAATGTGGTAGCGCTGATAGTTACCCCGGCCTGGCGTCGAGCCAGGAACATACCGCGTCGGCTATTCACCCCGCGAAATACATGCCGTCCCTACCTCTCGGAGGGTGGATGATGGCTTACGCCCGCGCGCGCGCGCCCAAGCATGGATGCGGGGAGGTTGCACTCGCATACCGATCCTACACCCGTATGTAATGCAGAACGGTTATGCGGCATTACGCACCGGGATAGGCACTCCGAAACTGGGCAATGGCGCCGTATCGCCGACCGGTCGCTCGTCAAATTGTCTCAATTGATCCGGAGCGAACAAGGAGATGCTTGTGGTCAATGATGTAACACATCCTTGATGTAAACGTCTTTCTCCTCTTAGACGAGCATTTTGTTGTTTCGTAAAGATCACATGTTGTATTTGAACATATAAGTACCACATTCATCCTGTGGTGAAGAAATAACAGGCATTGAGCAGCAAGAAAAAATTATTTATTTTAGCATAAAGTATCATGTCTGGTATTCCATCGGGAATTTAGAGATATTATTTAGGGATCCTGTATACGTTCAGGGTTGGAAACGTTACTTTATAAAAACAACGCATTATCGCACTTTTTATAAGAAACAAACTCGTTATCGTAATTCATTATTAATTTCTAAAAGTAACGTATTACTATTTTTGTTAACGTAATATTAAAGTAATAATGTGTTACGTTTTTTGTTATCCTCTTGAGCGAGCGTTTGTTTTTCCTCGATTGCTATCAAATCGAAGTGGAAAAGATATGTTGCCTATTCAAAAAGAAACTTTCGTCTACTTCATCCTCGAGACAGTCCGGCGCGACGTTATGCAATTTTGGAAAGTCTCGGCGATTTTTCTTCACGTACTTTCAAGCTTAATCGCATTCTTAACTACTATATATCTTTAACAAATTTTAAGTCTCTCATACAAAATCATATCTACGCGACAAGATTCACAATTTAAAAGTCTTTATAGCGCAGAAAGCCTTAACTTTTTAAACATTACAAACGACTTTTAAACATTACGAAAAAACGACTAGCCACACAAATATTATTATATTGTACAGTTGAAAGATTTGTGTTAAATTGATATTTAATATTTTTCGTGTTAAGATAACACAATTTATGAATTATTTATAAACAAATAATGTAAAAACAATGTAATCTTAAAACATAAATTCTAAGATAATTAATTACATGCCTCAAATGCTTCACTTGAATCTTTCTATTAAATTATTTTATAAAAGATGAATACATTAAAATGCAACACAAACATTATGTAAAATTTGATCTAAACAATTTAGATATAAACAGTAGGAGTATGTTTCTTAAAATATAATTAACATTATAATATCTTAAATTAACACATATATTATCCTTTTATTTATTTATTTTAGAATTAACATTTGTAATGATATTAGTTTTTTATATTATTTGTTTACTTATTCATAAATTGTACAATACTTTTGTACTAAGAAATATTAAATATCAATTTAGAACAAAGTATTTAAATAATCATGTCATGTTAAATTAACATTAGGATATATATAAAAAAATTAACACAAGTTTTAAGTCAGATCGTGTTTTTAACACAAGGACCGACGCAAATACAAAATGTTTTGTACTGTTTATATACATACATATATTTGTATATTTTTATAGAAACAATTTTGTGTTTGTCAATTTTCATTTAAATGCTGCTTTTTAAATTGGATTATTTGGTAATTCAAAAACTTCCAAAAATCTTTGCACTTAATATAATCTTTATTGGAAGCATTTGCAGCTTTTATTTTTGTTTCAGTCCCTTAGGAGATTAACCTTATAGAACAAAATTCTTTCAAAATTTACATTCGTGAAATATATTTTGGAATGCGATGTCGTGATCGATTCGCGGAGTTTACTGAAACGCCAAAAATCATATCTTGCGAGACTTCTTGATTTCCAGTCGCTTTGGGAGCAATGCGCTTTATTACGGTTAAACAGGCTGACCGAGCAGTATATTACCGCAGGACGGGTCTGATTTATTGCTAGGCAAGTCTGCCAGCCCACTGCCCAATATCCATACCCGGTCCCATCGGCGAACAACGCTGGTGTCCCTATTCCCTCATCGCCGCGTCGACGCGTAGCTTTTCTCCTCGCCGACCGAAACTATTAATTCCCATCTCCCGCGGCGACCAACGCCGCATAATTCGATTCTACGGTATTACCACACGACGACGGAACTGCGAGACGACGCGCGATTGCATTGTGGCGTGCACAAGCCGAGAGTTTCGAGCTTTACGCTCCGAAACCTTGAGTTACAGAAGCGCTAAAAGTGAGCGTAATTTCGTCAAACTGTTCCGGCAGCCGTCCAACGGTCTCTCAATTTCGCGCAAAATGATTTATTTACCCAAAACTACGGAAAGTTAATTATAATAATTTAGTTTCGACTAATCGAAAATTCTAATTAATTTAACTAATTCAATTTTAACAATATTAAATAACAGGATTGGCAAAAGATATTTTTTTTTTTAGAACAAAATGTTATGTTTTTAAAACACGTTTTTAACTTCATATTTTAAACATTATAAAAAAGAAGCATGTTTAAAACATATTTAAAACATGATTTTTTACCAACTCTATTAAACAATTTACAATTTTTGGCAAAATCAAGAATACTATTCCATTTATAATTTTATGTACGCAGTGCGATGCGATACAAAGAATAATTATCTATTAAAATACTGTCTATTAATTTAATATTAATAGACTAATAATATTAAAAGAATTAATTATTAGAATTAATTATATCCAACATAAAAACTTATATACATATAAATAAAAATATATTAAATTTCAAAATGAAAATTTTCATGATCGAGATTATCTAAATTCTTCAAATACGATTAGGATAAAAAATTATATAAATTGTTAAACATTTGAAGATAAGATAATCTTGTGCCAGCACATGATAAATAAAATGTTTGCTTATATATATATATATTTGTATTTGTATTTGTTAACAAAAATAACGGGTTTCTTCTACAATATATATCCAGTGCTTAAATTTTATTCTATCCACTTTCTCGTTACAAAATAACAATTATTCAACATCTTCCCATTCTATTATAGTTATCTTGATTGTCATATTTATCCAAAATTCCGTATTTTCTTTTCAGATTTACAGATTTTACCGAACTTTTTTTCGTTAAATAATTCCCGCGGTTGTGAACGCACGCGAATGCGGCTCATCGTATCCGAATGCTTGAAGTCGAGCTCGCGTGGAAACAAGAGGAGCCGCAGCAACCGACAGGAATCACGCCATGAAATTGCCGCGAGATCGAGACTTAAATGTCGGAGCAGGTCGATAGGCGGGCTGCTGCGCGCCGTTTCCCGGTATGCCCCATTTACCCCGATAGCTACGAATACGTGTGTATTATAGCGCTGCTTCGAAACATCCCGCGGTGGTCGCCCTCCACTTGAAAACGACAATCCCTCGCGATGTAACGACTTGCGTTCCTGCGGAAGCGCAGGCTGCAACCGCGCCGAGGACGAGGAGTGAGTGGAGCAAAGGATTAAGAACGGAGGATTGCAGGAATTTTATGAAACGTAGAGTCGTATAGACATCGTCTTCAGCATAGAAAACGTATTCGATATTTCTCGCGGTTCACCTCGAGTTTTTTCTTCTCTTCGTGGAATATATTTGAATTATAGACGCGACTATTCTTCGTTAGAACTGAACGTACTCTTGTCTCTTATCCTTTTTATAACTTAGGATGCGTTTCGTAGCTATCGACGTTTATCACGTAATTGTAATGAGTTGATTGAAGAACCAGGAAAATGTGTCGAAAACGAAATACTTGTAATTAATTTATTACTCAAATTGAAGTACAAATACTAAATTGAGGTATAAATTAAGAAATTGTAGTGTCTTACTCTTCTTGGAGCTTAATGAATTAATAAATCTTTTTGCATATCATTTTTTTTAGAACAAATTCAGGCACGTTTTATAATATCGTATTCCGACAAGAAAAATATTGATTTATGGTTTTGAGTCTTGACACAAGTTAAAAACATCCTCGCTTTGGAAAGTCGAATGCCTCTTGGCACGCAAGCAACATTTACGAAACTCCATTCCAGCAATACATAACTTTGTGTAAACATTTTTGGTATTAAATCTTCGTGTTGATGAAAATCCATTCAAGGGCATTCATTTGACATCATTTGGAATATTTCTGCCAAAATTTATGGCAATCGGGCGTTGAACGTTTTCGGAAGTTCATCCTAATTGTTTATATTAAATGATTCTTATAATTATACACCTAATGATTCTTGTAATTATAAAGATTCTAAATCTCTCTCTCTCTCTTTCTTTCTCTCTTTGTTAAACGGTAAAACATATAAAGCATGAACACAGCACAACTCAAACTAAAATAACATTTTAATTTTATTTTTATTTAACTATTTTTAATTTAGAAACATTAATGAATATCAATATTAATCCATTTTACGGAATGCGTACCGAAATTAAAAATATGACTCGGAAAGAGGCAACATTGTGTACGGAATCTTAAGTGGAAGAAATTGCGACGGATAAATCGCGATATTCATGATAGATATCGTCCCGTTTGCTAATAAAAATGTTTTTGATCGATTATTCTTACGTTTACAATCTTTATTCATAACTTGATGCGCTTGAAAAAAATAGTAATGTCAAAAAATAGTAAATGTCATACTTTAGCACCCTAATAAAGGGTGCTATAAATTGCTATCGAGAATGGGATTGCTATTTCAAGAATGGGATTGCAATAGATGAATAGCTGCTGCTATTACTGTTTTTTCCTTCCCCGAGAAACGCGATATAGAAGCTAAAACATTTAAAAATAGCACATTGAAAATGCGTAGCGTTGCGAATGCATAAATGAATGGCGGAGACACTTCCTCATCCTTAATGACGATCTAATTCGAGTCTTCATGTTTCCTCTTCTTGTTTCAGGATCTCCGCACCGTTCCAAGTGGTCGCCGCGATCCTGATCCTTGCCGCAACGGTATCAGCTATGATCGGCCATTGTTATTCCGATCATAGGACCCTCGTAGCCTGCGGACTTTTCCTTCTAAGCGGTAAATACGTTATCGAACTTCCCTAACTACGTATTGTTCTTTGAATTCTGCATCGAGTTTTTTTTTCATATAATGTTAAAAGTTTCTCTTTGTTCATGCAATTGTTGTTTTAATAGAATTTTTAATTGAAGTATTAATTAATGATTATAATGATTTTTTTATTAAAGAATAGATAAAAATGGAATTCATGGAATTATTTCATAAAACACAAAATTACAAAAACTTAAAACACAAAATTTTTCACAAATGAAATCTTTTAATTTTTTGCTCTATTTGAAAATCTTCTTATAAACTAAACATTTAATATTTAATTTTAAGTATATTAAGTAATGATTAAAATTTAAATTGAAATATTAACCCATAAGTGTACAATTAATCATTCTTCGTGCTCCCTCGCATTGTATAACTAGTCAAACAAAGACGAGTGGACTCTTACTCAACCCAATCAGTGTGCATTGTCTGCGTGGCGAGGAATCCGCTATTGTTAAAGTCTACGTGATCTAAGGTCCACATGCCGTTTATGCCATACGAGTCGCGCGATTCTCGAGGTGATCAACGGCCATTGTTGGTTCCTCACTGGCGAAGATGTGTACTCGATACACATCCGAGGATCAATCAACTCCGTGACCAGAGGACAAGCTATTTCTTAAAATAAACAGTAGAGAAGAAAGTATCATATTTCTTCCATACCATTTTTCTCATCTTTTATTATTTTGTTTTCAAATTAAATCTGGAAAAATTGTCCAATTAAAGAATTTTTGAATTTTTAAAAAAATTTTTAAATAAATTGCTACATTTTAGATATTTTTAAATTAAGAACAAATTTTTAGATTTTTAGAAATCGAAAAAATATTAAATGTAAATAAATTATAGAGGACAAGGTGGTATTATGGCACCCTATTTACATTTTGTACAATAACTTTGTTAATAATCAATATTTAAATTTAAAACTTAACAATTACATTTATCAAAATGTTGTTCCATCGATTCTAAACTTAAAGTTATAAAATATTTATTACTTAGGACGCTATTTATAAAAATGTGACATTGCATAATGGCTCGAAGAGAAACAAGAGAGGTAATATGGCTTTCCACTAAAATAAATATAAGTTTTTGTTTAAAAACAGTATTTAAGAAATTACAAAATTCACAGAAGAGCAAAATATTGTGTGCGTGCAATGTGTGTGTGTGTGTGTGTGTGTGTGTGTGTGTGTGTGTGTAGAATGTATGTACACATAACTCCTTCCATATATACATATATACATATAGACTGCTCAGTACTAAGTCTATATACATGTAATATAAACTATAGATTAACACTACAATCGATTTGTGAAATAATTATTTTGGTATGAAAAACCTCCATCAACAATCAGCACGCTTAGGGTAGCATATAACAAAATATAAACATTAGTAAACATGAGTAAAATCCTCTACTATTGTTTAACTTTGCATAACTCGAAATGTATATAAGCTAAATAAAATGTCGAATAATAAAGGACACAACCAAACATAAAAATGTTCGTGTGAATACATTCAATCTTAAAAAAAATGAGGAAGTATGTGTAATTAAATGTTAAAGCGTACCTTAACAAGATTTCAAAATATTTTTAAAAAAAATGCATTATAATAAATGCTGACTATTGTTTATTGGTATATTAGCGTCACGGTGTGGTCGAGTTATTAAGCAAATAATTCCATAAGTAATCATTAGAATTCGCCACTTAATAACAGAGATATTAAGACAAGAAATTAACATTATGTCTGCACTATATGATATTACCTTATCTTCTATAATAAATTTCATTTTGTTAATTTGATTACGTGACTTGTTTTAGTTTATTTGTCTTCTCATAATTTACATTCAGTTTTAAATGTTAAACATTTCTATCGGTCTTGTAATAACGATCCATTATGTAGGAACGCATTGAATAACACGCGATTTGCCTTTACTTTCTCGATAACTCAATTCTCGAGGGTGATGTGTCTATTCACAGTGAGATGCACACGTTCGTGCTGCAAAAGGGGTGGAAATGATCTATCTGCCTTTGTAGTTATACGAATCCTGCGGATTACGGCTGAAATCGGGATGCGCAACGATCTAAACGCCAAGAAACGCGACACCTTCCCATTTCCAATCCTTTCAGAACGTCGCCACGATTCTCTCCTCTCACCCTGTATATTTTACCTTTTCCTTTTTCCTTTTTCTCATCCGGCAGGTGAATCGATATCACGCGCATGATTCAAACGAAATCGAAATTCGGGCAAGAATGACACGGGAATCGAATAGACGATGATATCGTCATAGAGTTCAAATTGATTTCTTCTACGGCGAGAAAGAGGAGAGATAGCAGGAGGGTTCAACATTTTAATAAAAACCGCCTGTGTTTTTGTGGTTTTGTGTCGTTGGCGTCGATAAAGAATAACGTTGCATATATGAGACTAAAGTGGCGTCACGTGGACTATATCACTTTCTTCCCTCCAGGAAGCCGAACGCGAAAACATTATTTCAAAATATTGTAAATATTTTCTTGCAACTCTTTTTTTCATGCCAAACATGTCATTAATTGTACATCCAAAACGCCTACAGCACTTTAATCCCCTTAAGCATTTTTCAAAAACAATGTCTTTTATTAATTTTTCCAATAATTCCTTGTGATTTTTATTGATAGATGATTTTAGATATTTTGAATAGCTCTAAACATTAATCCAAATTTTGGAACCGCATATTATTATTGACAGGTAACATTTCAGATGCGGTCCAAAAGATAATAAGCAAATAATGGATCGCCATTTTTTACTGAAGCTATTGTCTTTTATAAAAATTTTTTTATTGTAAGTATCGTCTTTCATTATAAGTAAAAAAACCAAGGAATTAGTTAACTCAATACTATTATACATTTCAATGCTATGGTATAATATATACGTATACATGTCTGTTCTTTAAAACTTAAATTAATTAATCTGCAAAATTCAAAATTAATTTCCAAATTTATCTCAATTTTAATTTTAAAGTGAACATGCTACAAATATGCACTTGTTTAAGGTTAATGGCGTATTTTGGAGATTAAATGGAATTAAAAAATTAAGAAACATAAAAAACTGTTGTTTAAGAAAAATAAGTGTGAAGTTTCGCGTGAAATCTGTTACGTGTTAAACGTAAACAAAGTATATCAATTTGTCATAGTTCTCTGTCGGAATCATTTCTGATATGACGTGGAGCAGGAGAATTATTCCAAGTGCTTTAAAATAATCTCTTACGCAAACGCGCTTATGCAAATCCCCGTTACGCTGGCGCTGCCAAGTGCACCGAGTTACAATCGTGGATGCGACATGTAATCTATGACGAGTCTTATTGGTTCTCAAGATCGCTAACTTGTTATTACATGATGTCTGAGAAATTTAAATCCCGATTTTATAGATAGCGTTTTCCATTTCCATTTCCGATTACATGTGCATTTTCGACCGTACAAGTACGTGGGTAAAAGTATTATACATTTATCTTATGTAACTTCTATCTAATCAATATGTTATATTTTGGTTAACTTATTATTCTAATTGCGTTCAACTGGAAATCGGTAGCAAAAAATGCTCCTTCTATTGGCAGTTAATTGTTATCATACCGATAGATAACTCGTTTGTTAGATGCGTATGTCGATTATGATATGTTATTATTATGTCGGGAAAAAAAATATTTGAAGAGCTTTGTTGAGATGTATTATTTAAATATTCACCATAATATAATAAAACATCAAAAATATAAATTAAAATATAAATGGTAAATAAAATAAACATTTTTATTCAGTAAATACTATCGCAATTTTATATGGATATATCAGTTTTTTTAAATTCACTTCTATACACTATGTGGTAATAGTGTTATAACTAAAAAATATATGTTTAAAAAAATATTCAAGCAGTATCAACTAAAAATTACTGTAAGTTAAATTATGATAATTGCACTTGTTAGCTACTTGTTTCTCTCAATATTGGAATATTTTCTTACTCAAAATTCCTATAAAAGTATCATATTGGTACATATATTGTATGCAGTAGTTCCGAAAATATCAAATTTTTGTTTGACGAATGACTATTGCATTGAGATATCTCGCTATACATATTATTGTGCAATATTAATTATTCAGAGAAACGATCGCATTATTTTGTGAAATAATAATGTGACGACAAGGAGTGATTCATGCCGCTGCCTACCGCCTCAAGCCTCGTCGAATTGCGAATGACAACACAGTTGTTTGCATAGCAGAACACTTTGTACGCCCCAAAAATACATAAGTATTGAAAATCAATTATAACAGAAATATTTAACGTTATTAACTTTATTATGGAATAAATTCGTTACCAATATTTTGTTTGTTAGATTTGATATTGAACAAATATCGTATACATTAAATATGATATTCTTATTTAAAAAATGGGATTTACCTTGCTTTGGCCAATTAATAATAGCAATTTATTTTGTATCTCTTATTTGTTTTTTTACGAGAGATTATTATCTATGCTAATTATATCATAATTTATCGGGTCTCTACAAATAAGATCTCGATGTAATATTAGTGTGTGCTTTCTTTGATAGAAATTAAAAGACTTGAAGAAAAAACCTCGAAAGGCTTCAATTAAAATTCTGTCAGCATTTCAAATTCATGTTTATAAAAGTCCAATTAGAAATTCTGTTCAAATTGCAGTGAAAATCATTCAAAATATTAGATGCTTTCATGTTTTCCGTTCCATCCGTAGATTACGAGAAATAAAGAGAAAAAAAGAGCAAAAAAGAGAGATGGAGAGAATTTATTATACATTTTTTACATTTAGTAATTGCTATTTTCTTCAAGAGAACTTTGTAATATGAGGTACTTAAAAAAGATTTCAAACGAGCGAGCTTCGTATCGTGGCGGTATTTCCAAAGGCTTTTTTTAATAGCGCTTAAGAAGGATAAAGAGTCCTTTAATAAAAGAAGCTTGTCTATGCGAGAATCTCACAAAATGTTGCATATAAAACTGACACGAATAAAATTGAGAATTGATTTTTGGGAAAACTTGATTTCTCTCTGTATAGGTCAATTTGATGGAAATAGGACAACTCTTGTAAATCAAGCGCAACAGTTGTAAAAATTTATTCTCTCTTACTCTCTCTCTTGTTTTGTATACATATCATGTTTGTGATATATAATAATAATATTATAATTTATCTTATGAGTTTAAGAAAAAAAATTATGTTCTCTCAATCATTGTTTGATTCTTGTTTACTAAGAATATTAGAATTCATCCAGACAAACTAGCAGCAGTATAAACGTGTGCATAAAGAAAATTACATTTTGCATGGATCCTTATGATAAAATGGAAAATGTTTTTTAGCGAATTGGATGCATTCAGTGCGCACTAGTATATATTAAAGCCGTCGTACACAACTTGACATAAAAATATGTATTTAATATAAATATAAAAACGGATTAAACCATGAAATCCTCAATACACTTTATTACGCTGTTAAATAAAATCTGTATTTTGTATTTCGAAATATTTGCATTTTACTTTTACACAAATTAATGTACAGTAGTTTTAATATACATTAGTCCGCGTAACGCGTTCAATCAAATTTATTATTAAATAAAAAATGAATAAATGAGTTATGAGGTAATTAGATCTGTACAGAGAACAAGATTAAAATTTCTTAGAGAATTTGGCAAAAATATTATTTGTAAAAGAATTAAAAACGTGTTCATAGAAACGTATATTATAGCACAACAAAGTGTGATATAGATTATATAATACATGAAATAAATACCTTATCAAGTACCTAAATTGAAAAATTATCAAATTGATGATTCATTAATTAATTCATTAACAAATGTGAAAAGAATCTGCGAACAATAATATGAGTAATAAAAACAAAAGTGTAAAAATAGAAAGTCGTCAACAACGCGCTGATTCATATTAGCTTTCCTCCTTCGAATGATATTGATTCCAAAATACCTTTCGCAGAATGAGTGCCTACGGTAAAACTTTCGCACGTATTTTTGCATAATTGAACATTCTTTTCGCGTGAGAGACGAGAGGTGAGAAAGAGGCGCAGAAGGAACCATGGATAGTATGACTCCCAAGTTGCAAAAGATAATGGAGAGAAAGAGAGAGAAATAGAAGTGGGAGAGAGTGAGAGAAATGCAGAATGGAGATAGCTTCGTTCATTCGCCCGTGTGTCTACAACGCGATAAAATTCTCGGCAGATTTTCAAGCACCCTCCCCTCTTCTCTGTACCACTCCGGCATACAGTCGCCGTATCCAGGACGAAGCAATTTCGGAGCGGACTTTGGAATCGCACTCGAGGGGCATGATTGTACCTGTACTACGTTTAGACATGTGCTGCGCATACGTGGCAGCCTGAGGCCTTTCTACTCCCTCTAGTGTTTAGAAACGAAGAAATTTGCATGAATCAGAAATTTTTATAGTACTATTCCATTAAATGCGAAGCGCTTAAAAGTTATATTTCAATGGTAGAAAAAATTTATTTGGAAAAAATAATTGAGTTTTGGTTTATAAAATTTAAGTATAATAGTTCAGATATGTATGTGCGTAAATAAACAAAGCGATTTCTCTTTTATATACATTGTGATCGTAATCTTGACAACAGCTGACTTCGTCGCTTTTCTGTGATCACAATTCGACAGCCAATGATTTTACTCTGATACTCGAAGCTTCTCTCGGTAGCTACTTACTGAATTATCGCGAATTCTCTCTTAATTTGGCGCCAGGTACGAGTGAGTGTGCTGCTCTTTGTGACTTCTCTAAATCTCGATTAATTATTCTCGATATTTCTTTAATGCGACGGACAATCGACTGTTCAGTCCCGCATGGACAGCAGGGATGGGTGATTCGGAACGAAAGTGAATCGGAAGGCGAGAGAACAAATAAGAATTACTTCTCTTTAATAATAAGAGAATGGAAAACATATTATACATTTAATATTGATAAGGAACACGATTATAAGCATCTACTCAAGTACGCAATTTACCGTAGTGAATAATTCGTCTCGGCACGAATATGAGCTCGAAAGTTAATATACAATAATTGAGTCGCGTAGCACAAAATAATACAAGGAACGTGAACAAGAAACGTGATTATCGTGAGAGTTATTCCAAATTTATCAATCAAAGTTTACAGCAACATGGTTTTCCATCAGGCGTCGTACAATGATTTTCTCTACTCTACACGAAATGCAACTCAAATAGCGGTGTATTAGGTGTTGGAATTAATTCGTAGCGTTTTACAAGTGATGGGAAGTACTTTCATTAATGTATTTTTTAATGCTCATGTGAAATAAATAACATTCTTTCATTAAAAACGCTACGAATTAATTCCAACACCTAATACAATGCAAGATGGCGAGTTAACATACAATCACACTAACGAGACGCGACGACTTCGCTGTGGCGACAGGGTGGTAAGCTTTACACGAACTGAATATAAAAATCTATGTGATTCGAGTGAACGACAAGCGATAGCAAAAAGATTAATTATTCGCGATAGCCCCCTGTACGGACTGCAGCTTTTCAGCTCGAATTCAGCATGTGCTATTCGCCCGAGATCACGTTGTTGGAGATCGGCGGCCTTACAGAATTTCTATGCTTGTCTCACCGGCAATTCGTCCCTTTCGGTTCTTCCATTAGCTCTCTTCGGTTCGGCTTCACTCTAAGGCTCTGTAATGGACTTGCACGGATGCTCGCATCAAACAATCTATTCCACTCGTGCCACAACACAAGTGATTTCGGCAGGCCCCGGGGGGGGGGGGGAAGATGTACAGGCCGAGCTGCTTTTCGGGAGCGAAAAGCCTCCCGGTGCTTGATTGGCCAATAGCAGCGCCACTCGACCCTGCGAATCGCGTAGGCTCGTGGCAACGACGTAGCTTCCCGCGTCTTGGCGCGAAATCCGAATTTCGCTCGGGTCGTCTTCTCGCCCGGAATTCTTCTCTTGTCTCGCACGGAGCTCTTCCTGCCTTGGGCAGTTCTTTCGGTTCGAGCCCGCGTCCACCGTGATCCTCTCATGGGACGTTCTAGCTGGTTGTTCTCTTGAGAAGCTACCTCATCCTGACGTCTCGAGACATCCTTTATTCTCTAGCGGCAACTTTTTTCACGTATGTTTTTCGCTGAAGAACGTTAGAAAACTAACGTAATAATTTATTATCATTTTAACGATTATGTTTTGTTCTATGGTTTCTTCAATAAATTTAATTTGAATATTGAGAGATATTCTTGAAAATTTGCGTACCTTGAACAGCGCTTATTCCTTCGAGCCCTTTTATCTCTGTTACTTTTAAGTTAAGGTAATCGTAACATTCAAATTTTTGAAATAAAAAAGAAATTACCTTGTTTATTCACACATCTCAACTATTTTTATGCATTTTCATAAAATATGCATATATTTTTTTATAAAGCAAAGTCTAACTAATAGCTTTACGTCATTATTAATAATATAAATTATTAATGCTTCTGGATGTTAAATTCAGATTGTTAAGAGATCAATAATAAAGCATTATAATAGGCATTAGTCCAATAATTATTTTATGTCTTCAAGACACGAAAATTTCAAAATTTTTAACTGAAACAGTTAAAGCCAGCAACTGTATTATACAAAAATTAATTAAAGAATAAACTTTGTGAAATGAAAGATATTAAAGAACTAATTTGACAATAAAAGTCTTCGAGAACAAAACAAATTTTTCATTGTTCCTAATTATACAAAAGTGTTAAAAAATTCTAATATACTTATCAAAACTTTAATAACGAGTTTTTAGATCACAGAAGTCAGATTGTATTTTACATATTTTTTTATAGAATTAAATTTATTTATCAAAATTCACAAAAATATCGATGATGCGTTTAAAAATTCTAATTGCCGGCGGAGGATTAATCTATATTTCGGATTAATATCCGGCGTATATTATTATAATTAAAACTAAAGAGATCGAAAAAAAAATAATTTTTAAAAATTATAACTTATTTGTTTTCTGCATTTTTGACAGAAACGTGATCGTGCTGAACTTGAGCATGAACTTTAGCATCAAAATGTATTAATTATAATTATCCTCAATTAATGCATAATTTTCATCATAGCTAATGTCATCCTCGTCGTTAGAATATTCTCCATCTTTCCCAGAATAGAAGCGTGAAGCGATTTGTATAGATTCATCATTATTCCAGGTTGAAAGTTCGGTGGCAGGAATCAATTTTGACATAGTAATGTTGTGTCGATGGCCCCATTTTGGATTTCGCTCAAACTTTGCGCAGAAAACACGGCGACCCTTACGGTCCATCTCTTCGATTATATCAAGACCCCTATGATCAATGATACAATTAATTAATGATTGATGGGAAACCAATCTCGGCGTATAACAAACAATTTCAATTCAATTATAACTTAACATAAATTAATCGATAACAATTACATGAATATAATGTGTTTTGTCAAATGGAATTTTAATAAAGCGAGTATAGCGAAAAATATGCAAAATTATCAATATTATGGTCATGTTGATCCGATAACATTAATCAACAAATAAAAATGTTTTACGTAAACGTATATAAATAAGATCTCGATTTTATTCACTGAATACAAAAATATTAATAAAAATTCTGTAGCACGTATTTTTTGTTATTGAAATATTTATCAAGATGTCATTCTTATTATAAATATCTACTTTATTTTTTATACATAACAATATATACAGCACATATGAGCAGCTTAACTTTTATTTCGATTTTCAATTTGACAACTAAAGTAAGTTTAAGCTTTTTTCAAAGTTATAAGCGATCTACTTTGTAATTTAATTTCCTAATTTCAAAATAAATAAAAAAGTTTACTTGTTGTCATAGATCTATGGGAAGGACTTCCCACATTTAAATTTTCAAATTATTTTTATTACATAAAAATGACTTGCTACGACTTTTTGAATATCAGATATAAAAAATAGAATTAATAAGAAATCATAAAATATATGTTTTATCGATATTACTGAAATTTTGTTGATTAGCAGAATTGATAAAAAGAACGTATCATTAATTATAAATATTTTAATATTTATTCAAATATAAATTTGCTAAAAAATTATGTTAAATAGCAAATGATAAAAACAATAATATAAAAAAACTTATTTCATTGTACTTACTCATTTATACACTCCTGGGGATCGTAAAAGGTACGAAAGCACTGCTTGCATGTACTGAAATATATTCTTCTCACGGCGTATGGATAAAGGCCGCGTATTTGCGTCAAACAGTTGTGAAATTGCAACTCGCACTCGCACAATGAGCTGCAAAAAGTCGAAAAGGAAAATTCACTCGTGCGCTTAACATAATTGTATTGTACCTTCCTACCTTCTACAAATGTATTTGTTATGCAGTCTATATCTTGTACTTTTTGGTCTTATGTAGTCTTCACAACTATCATGAGTTCGACAACAGTCATCCATTTCTGTGTACATGCCCAGATCAGAATCCTTGCGAGCGATATTTCCTCGGCCACACCAAAGAGTGCCTAAAGATTGTGAACAAAAAGGCATATAATTTATGACAACAAATAAAGAAATAATAATTTAATAAATAATTAATAATTTATAATTAGTTGTCAAAAAAATATTTTTATATAGTACAAGTAAAATATAAATTACAAGTTTCATTTTTGTAATGTATCAATTAATTTAATTGTATTACAAACTAACCTTTAATATACACGATTGGATCATTAATTCGTGTTTATTTACTTTGTTTATATCCTTTTCTTTTTATTTATATCCTTTTTTTTTATTTTCAATTAATTCTCATTTATATTGCAAGGCTTTTATAAAATATTTTATAAAATATTATAAAATATATATTATAAAATATTTTTAAAAATGGAATTTAAATGATAATTTTGTACTAAAATGTTGATTATTCCTATTATATAAAGATCAAAATGTTCCAAAAAATCAAATTTAAAATAATTTAAAATCGTGAATATTCGTACTTTGTAAATATTTTATTAAAATAAATAGATATTTTTTTTACATTTAGCTTAACAAACTGTTTGAACATTTCCCATAAAATAAAAATAGTCGTTAAAAAATTATTTACGAAATATAAAATAAAAATATAATAAATATTAAAGCAATAATGCCTTGTAATTTAGATTTTGTTAGATTTGTTAAGTTAAATATAATGTTTTAATGTATTAAATTTTAACAAAGATAAAAAAGTACTATATTATTTTTTAAGTATTTAGCTACTTTTACACAGTAAAATAAAAATTATACATTTGCTTGCCATTTAAGTAAATAAAAAGAAATATAAACAATTAAGTATTTATTATAAATGTTAAAAAAATTAATATTCTTAGAACAATTAAAACTAATAAGTACATAAAAAAAATTACCTGGAAGAATTCCATGTCGAAGATTTGTGACTTGTTTTAATGCGTATAAACCTCGTAAATAATCTTTCACACTGTGACCTTCCGTTACACCGTTATTATTAGCGAATAGCGCGAGCATGTAAAATGAGATCAAACTAATTACGTAAATCCCCCTCATTTCATGCTAATTAATATAATTTATTAACAACGACGGGAATTGCAAATTAAACTTCAAACGTTCAGTTCTATAGTAAATGTAATATACGGAAGAGATTTTCGTAACGCGTTCTGTGATTGACTTATACCGGAATTGCGCTTGTTATCATCACGCGACAAAACGAAACTGTTGACCCGCTAAAAATACGTATTACGACATTTATATGTATTAGCGTATACGTGTGAGACTTGTGCACCGCACATTTCCTGCATGTGCGTTTCCTCACCACCAGCTTCCTCGCGATACGGATTTAATATCTAAATTAACCAAACTTTAAACACACTCACTTTTCAACGCATAACTATTACGTTTAGTAATAATTACATTATATAGTAACGCGTAAAGTAATTTTATACTTTTATTTGTATTAAATTATTCATGTAAAATATCGCATTTATAAATTTCTATATATTTATAATATGCTATTGTCAAATTGCGTTATGTTATAAATTATGAATTAAAAGTTAAAATAAAAAATTTAATTTAATTTTTACTCCATTAATAATTCTAATAACTTTTAGTGAATTTCATTTATTAATAATTAAACAAGAAGAAAATAATCAATCAAAGCCTGCGAGTGCGGTTTTACCGAGTGTTTTAGTAAGACTGTCAAGTCAGCAGATCAACGAGTTTCGGTTCGCCCTGAATCCTCTCTTCTTTATTCAAGACATGACATCTAAACTGGAAATAAAAACAACGTACGTGTATGCCAAAGAGAAACAGATTCCTGAAAGGTGGAATTACAGATAGGCAATATTTTTAGAAAGGACAAGGAATAATCGTCGTAAGACACAAATCAAGGCCTTAAACTCAAAATTGTTGTCATTGAACGATATCACTGTGTAAATTTAAATCGCGATTTAATCTCTTGATGCATAACATCTCAGACGTTTACAACGGGAAGATTTCTCAACCAAAACATAAACATCAAATCAAAATGTGATAAATAGTACGATTTTTTATTACTAAATGTTATAAATCATCTTTTTTTATAATTTTGAAGAAATCTTTTGTTTATAACATTGTCTTCCCAAAAATTATAACATTGTCTAAAAATTTATTATTTTTTTTATTATGTAATAATAACATCATATTATGTTATGTACTAATTCTTTATTTATATAATACAAGAATATTTTTTATTTCAGAGACAATTGATTCTGAACTCTCTTATGCAAGACTCTACTTATATTTAATTTAATTGGTTTTGGAATTTTCTAATAGTTTTTTCTGAATTTTATTTTTATAAAACAGAATTGTCAAATATAATTTCCGACGTATTTAATACTAAATGTTAAAAATGATAGTCTGATTCGAGTTTCCCAAAAAGAGATTACCCGAATCTAAAGTAGCCGTAAATGTAATTAATGAATTTATAAAAGTAACATTGTTAAGACTGAAGACAAGAAGAAAATATATCACAGGAAATTTTCTCCCCCCGAAAGTTAAGAGAATTGAAATAAAATGAGATGGCGGACGTCTTCTTGGATTTCTGGCGAAGCTTTTTAGAGCTTTCTCTACATTATTTCAACTGGCCGAGATCGACCCCTCTCTGCCGATCTCTCGAAGTCTCTTTCACTCGACTGCGCATTCCTTTTAACGATTTCATTCTTCTCGGCCGCGACATCCGCTTTCGTTTCACGTTCTACTCTCGTTCTTCAAGGTTTCTGCCTACCGTCTATCCTGATATCCTCCTAAGAATCCTCTCGAAAATCGCAAGCGAGTAATTACTTAATAGCGTAGTAATTAACTTGTATGTTCTCTATGTGATGGTAAACTCTAACAAATCGCGTTATAAAATACAATGCATTGTCATAATTAAAAAGAGATAATACTGAAGGAAACAATATCGATAAAAAAAATTGACATTGAGCAATTTAACTAGCGCGGAAATTGCGCGTGCAGAATGATTAACGATTACGAAAAGAACTCTCGCGGCAGAAAGAGAGGAAGGAAGTCGCTTGCGTTTCCTCGCCGATGGGCGCGGAAGGTGGTTTGCGTTTGTACTGCACCACAAAAGGTTTGACGTAGGTATGCGTGCGCGTGCTCTACCCAGCCTAGGTTAATGCAGCATTACGAGATGCGCATTACGAGTAGTGTTCGTCGTGAGCGAAGGAGCGAATGCAAGACCAGCAGTCACTGATGTACGCAGCTCCGCCTGCCGAAGAGCAAAAGGCAAGATGAAAATGTTGGCGAGCTAAAAAGCGAAGGATCATCTCTTTCCGCTCTGTACCGACTGATGGAAAACGTCCACTGCGATTTTTCCCAGTCAAATGTTTTAAACGACGTTGAATATATTTTAATTTTGTCGTTCTTTTATCATGAGATAAAATATGTTTTAAAAGTACAATATTTGTCCCGCGTGTAGGAGTTAGTTTCCAAATATGCTTGTCCGTAAGATACCAGAAATTTTTTAAATAAAATTCCCTTATATTTTCATAGGGGAGATGACTATTGTCAATTTTATATTTCTCTCAAATATATAAAATAAATTTTCATGGTTTCCAGATATTTCCACTGAAAAAGATGTGAAACAATTCAATAATTTTGTTTTCTCATTTTCAGCGAAGCTTTCCGAAAGTGAGTCATATATTATTGGATTTAGATTATGATTTAATTTTGTAGAAAGTGATCGATCTAAAATTAATATACAAATATGTTTTATATATTTTGACATAAATCTTTTCCTGATAATCGAATTACAAAAAATATTTCAGGATTAATGAGTAATGAATCTCCATTAAGTAAATTATGTGCGAAACGAGCGTTAAGTAATTAAGCTGCTGGAAATTGCTCCTCTTCAAATATTATCTTAAGATAATTGTCGGTCGTTGTCGAAAACTAATTATTGTTCACAAAATACATTTTACGACATATTACTTGTAAGAAAATTGTCGGAACTATCTTTTATCGATTTTGATAGGTTTTGGATATGTTATAAAATATCAAAAAATATTACACTCATATTTTTTTATGTGCTTATCTTGAGGTTCGAAATAACCTCTCGAAAATAACGGATTTTCTCATTTTCAGCAAATATCTTCGAAATTATGAAGTATATAATACAATGTCTTATACAAAAGATTTATTTCCTATTTAATAATGGCACAATCGTATTTTTAAAAAATATCAAAAATAAAAAAAAATTCGTTACTTTTAAGGAGTTATTTTGATCACTAAATTTTGATAAGCAGATAAAATATATAAGGCTAATATTTCTTTTGCTTTGCAACATATTCAAAGCATATCAAGATCGAAAACATTACTGTAAATAGTTTCAGTTATTAGCATGTTTCCTTTAATAGCAATCTAAATATACTTGAAATAATATTTTGATTTCATTTCTTTTTATATTTAATCTTTTCTTCTTGCATCATTTTTTTGCATAGAAATACATGCACATATTTTGATTAATTATTTCAAAAATTTTACATAAAACAATATTAATAGACTGCATAAAAACACTACTAAAGGAGTGACGATCGAATTTGATTGATATCGACATAGTATAAATTTTTTAAATTCCAAATAAAAAAAGTCGATAATAAAGTGACATCTTTTTTTAATTTCTTACATTATTATTCTCTTTCACTCAAACGCAAACATTTGTTCTTATCTAACATATTGTAACGCCATCTTTTGCAAGAGCACCTACTGCTAGACACAATTACTGCTTTGTTTACCATTCTGAATCTTCATTCAGTATTCATATACACGTAATTTGCAGATCAATATAAATTTTTTTTTAAGCTTTCAATCTTAGTTCTGTAAACTCGGTATTGTTTGTGCACGTAATACGCCAGGTGCTGTACTGTCCATATAAACTATAAAACTTTTGTATTAAGGAAACATTTTCGTCAAGTGACAGCTCTACGAGTGAAAAAATGTAGGTTTTAACTTTTTTCTGGATTTTAGCATAAAGTTCACTACAGCACCTTCCAATTTTGCGTCTATTTTAATCCTATAAAACGATTTTCAATTCCGTTCAGTAAATTCAGAGATTTTTATTGATCTGCAATGTTTCATAAAAAATATTAGCAGGCTACGTAAAAACATTATTAAGATGATTTCAACAATGACTCCTTTTCTGTCGTTTTTCAATAGTAATAATAATTTGTTATTTTCTTTTTTCATCATCTTTCACTTCCTAGTAGAGGTAAGGAGGTGGCTAACTGCTTGGTTCGCGTTGCTGATGACGCATAAAACGGCGTTATTTGTATCCGTAGGTTTCATGCGAACTCTAGCTGACGACCACGTCCCTCGTGAAAACCGAGTGGAGCGGAATTTGCCTCGGCGGACAACCGAGGGAAATTATCTGCAACAACTGAAGTAATAACATTTAACTGTATACTGCACACATTGCGGCCTCGCGCGCGATCCCGGCCGGTGCCGAGGGTACGGTGAAAGAGCGGCAGCGTGGAATTATAAATTGTTGGGGCATAGTTGCGATTGTTTCGAGCCAAGGGTGAGAAGCTGCCGCGTCTTCCCCATCCCTTGTGTGCTACAGCAAAGACGATTATTCTTGTCCTGTTTACTCGTCGTTTCCCTAAACGGAAGTGTTCTGCGATCCCCGGATCAAGTCCGCGTTGTACGCGAGAGCGTGCTTGAAAAATTATTTCGACTGTGAACCGACGGCCGGTGTAACTTACAACGTTTTTAAATTCTATACAGAAAAAGTGCAAACGTGGGAAAAAGTGCAAATAGAAAAATGTAAGAGGATCAAAATTGAAGTGAAAATATATACGTGATACTAAAATGAAAAGCGTTTTCTATCTTCTATATTTTTTTTATATCTATTCTTTAAAATAGAAATTATTTTTTATCTCTATTCTTTATAATAGAAATAACGTCTAAATAGAATTACGAAAATTTTACTTACGTATATTCGTGTATTTGCAAATTGTAAATATGCAAAATCTTTGGTATAATTTATAATTAAACGGAAAGGATTTTGCTAAAGTATCTAAAACTTTAAATAAACACAGATTTGAAATAATTTTGTAGGTTCATCAAAATAACTATGTAGAACACTCTTGAACTGGTTATTAGAACGTCAATACTTTTTACAGCATTGAGCATCATATTGGAAAAAGAATTTGGTTGCATGTTTGAAATTTCTATTGTAATTATTTATAGTCCGTCAAAATTATTTTCAGATCTGTATCTACCTAAATATTTAGATATCAGCAAAATCCTTCTTTTCAAGAAGTTAAATATTCCAAATTGCAGCAGCAAAAGTCCTCAATACGTCAATTCTTAGCGTTCCATCTCC